CAACAACAACAACAACAACAACAACAACAACAACAACAACAACAACATTAACAACAACGATAACAACAACACCACAAACAGCAACAACAACAACAATAATAACGACAAAAAACACCAGCAATAACAACAATCATTGTAAGACTGGTCGCTCGTGTCTGCCCGCGTACCACTCAACACGTATATCCCGAACCCTCGATACCAGCCCTTTTCGTCTTCGATCGTACCCCCTTGGGAGTACATGTTTCCTCCTACTTGCAACGTGTATTTCGTGCAGCCCCTGAGGCAGGGAAAGAGAGGACGGATGGAAGGAAAGGACAAGGGGGAGGGAGGAGGATGGAGCACAAGAGAGACTAGGAGGGGGTCGAGGAGCAGAAAAACACGTGGCAGAACCACCAGACAGGCAAATTGGGCGGGTAGACCGTACCAGGCGGGCCGGGAAGGAGGGCCCAGGCGGCCAGGTCGAGCAGGCGGGTTGCTGAAGCGTGCGTCCTGCATGAATCGCGAGGAAGGCTCGAACGACAGCTCGATTCCTAAATCAATCGTGGGAAAATCCACACCGAGAGCGCGACTCCTGACTGTCAAGGGCGCGGCTTCTGAAATGTCCTGAATGTCAAGCGTGAATGTCCTGTAAATGCGAGGAAGTCCCAAGCGAGAGCGCGATTCCTAAATAATTTGTGAGGAAGTCCCGCGAGAGAGCGCGAAAACATTGTGAGAAAGTATCGGGCGGGAGCCCTTTCCCTTGTAGTTACGGGAACAGCGGCACAATTTGAGGAAGAGTTTCTTGAATGAAAAAGCAGGTGCGAGCCCCGGGAAGGGCACTTCAATTGAAAAAACACATATGTTACCGGAGGGGATCAACAATAACTATTCTTCAGCAATGAGAATTCAAAAACAACAATAACAACAACAGCAGCAGCAACAACAACACCAACAATCAATTTAAGACTGTTTGCTCTTGTATGCTCGCCAGCCACTCAACACGTATATCCCAAACCCTCGATACCTGCCCTCTTCGTCTTCGACCATAACCCCTCTAGGGGGTACATATCTTTCTTACCTGCAACGTGTATTTCGTGCAGCTGCTAAGGCACGGGAAGAGAGGACGGATGGAAGGAAGGGACAAGGTAGAGGAAGAAGGGTGAAGCGCAAGAGAGAGTAGCAGGAGGGGGCTAAGAACAGAAAATACGTGGCAGAACCAGACGGGCATTGGGGTGGTAGACCCTCAAGGGCGGGTCGGGAAGGCGGGCCCAGGCGGCCAGGTCGAGCAGGCGGGTTGCTGAAGCGTGCGTCCTGCATGAATCGCGAGGACGTCTCGAGCGACAGCGCAATTCCCAAATAAATCATTGGGAAATCCACAACAAGAGCGCGATTCCTGAGTGTCGAGGGCGCGGCGTCTGAATAAAATGTGATGAAGTCCCACGCGAGAGCGCGATTCTGGTATAAAGTGTGAAAACGTCCCGCGCGAGAGCGTGATTTTCAGATAAATTGTGCGGAAATATCAAGCGGGAGCCGCTGCTGCTGCAAGCCGGGGCCAAGGGTACAATTTGGTGGCACCTCACTTTCAATTGCAAAAACAAGGTGCGAGCCCGGGAAAAGCAATTCATTTCACGAACTAAATGGTTACCGCGCAAGGGGGGATCAACAACAACCATTCTTTAGAATGAAGAATTCCACCACAAGAACAACAATCACTTTAAGACTGATCGCTCTTATATGCTCGCCGGCCACTCAACACGTATATCCCAAACCCTTGATATCCGCCTTCTTCGTTTTCGATCGTACCCCTCTAGTAGGGGGTGTATACTGTTCTTACCTGCAACGTGTATATCGTGCAGTCCCTAAGGCACGGGAAGAGAGGACGGATGGAAGGGAAGGACAATGGTAGGATGGAGCACGAGAGAGAGTAGCAGGAGGGGGACTAAGAACAGAAAATACGCGGCAGAACCAGACGGGCAGATCGAACGGGTAGACCCTCAAGGGCGGGTCGGGAAGGCGGGCCCAGGCGGCCAGGTCGAGCAGGCGGGTTGCTGAAGCGTGCGTCCTGCATGAATCGCGAGGACGTCTCGAGCGACAGCGCAATTTCCAAATAAATCATTGGGAAATCCACAACAAGAGCGCGATTCCTGAGTGTCGAGGGCGCGGCGTCTGAATAAAATGTGATGAAGTCCCACGCGAGAGCGCGATTCCGGTATAAAGTGTGAAAACGTCCCGCGCGAGAGCGTGATTTTCAGATAAATTGTGAGGAAATATCAAGCGGGAGCCGCTGCTGCTGCAAGCCGGGGCCAAGGGTACAATTTGGTGGCACCTCACTTTCAATTGCAAAAAACAAGGTGCGAGCCCGGGAAAAGCAATTCATCTCACGAACTAAATGGTTACCGCGCAAGGGGGGATCAACAACAACCATTCTTTAGAATGAAGAATTCCACCACAAGAACAACAATCACTTTAAGACTGATCGCTCTTATATGCTCGCCGGCCACTCAACACGTATATCCCAAACCCTTGATATCCGCCTTCTTCGTTTTCGATCGTACCCCTCTAGTAGGGGGTGTATACTGTTCTTACCTGCAACGTGCATATCGTGCAGTCCCTAAGGCACGGGAAGAGAGGACGGATGGAAGGGAAGGACAATGGTAGGATGGAGCACGAGAGAGAGTAGCAGGAGGGGGACTAAGAACAGAAAATACGCGGCAGAACCAGACGGGCAGATCGAACGGGTCGACCCTCAAGGGCAGGTCAGGAAGGCGGGCCCAGGCGGCCAGGTCGAGCAGGCGGGTTGCCGAAGCGTGATTACTGCATGAATCGCGAAGAAGTCTCGTAGCGCGATTCCCAAATAAATGATGATGGAATCCACAACGAGAGAATGAATCCTGAGTGTCGAGGGCGCGGCGAGTGAAATAAGCATGGAAGTACCACGCGAGAGAGCGATCCCTGTATGAGTAAAGAGGAAGTTCCACGCGAGATCGCAATTTGGAAATTATTCACAGCGCGGAGCTCCCCAGATATGAATCTATTTGCATGGATCGTTCCGCCGTGAGTGCCTAGGCGCAAGAAACTTCGAATACGTACGAACGGGCTTGAGGTATAAATGGGTTTTTGTATGGTTGAGTGTGAGTGTCAGTTAGTCTAGGTATGGGCGAGTCTGAGTACGAGTGGATCTGAGAATGCGTAGGTATGAGTACGAGTGCGTCTGAGTGAGGGTGAGTCTGTGTGGACAAGTCGGGGTGTGAGTGTGTCTGAGTACGAGCATAATGAACACGAGTATGAGTCTGAATGGGTATGAGTACAAGCGAGTCTGACTACGAGTGAAAATGAAGGTGGGTGGGTCTGAGTGTGAGTAATTATGCGTCTGACTAAGTCCGAACGGGAGTGAGTCTAAGGGTGAGTTTGATGAGAATGAGTCTGAGTCTGAGTGGGTCTGTGCACTTTGAATCTGGCTACGAGTGAGTGTGAGGGCGGGTTGGTCTCAGTGTGAGTGTGTCTGAGTGTGCTTGAAGTCTGGGTGTGAGTGAGTCTGAATATGAGTATGATGAATGCAAGTCTGAGTACGAGTGAGTCTGAGCACGACTGAGTCTGAGCATATAAGTGAATCTGGGACATCCTCGCAATCTGGGCCCCCTGGGGTGCGAAAACCAGCGCCTCGCCCGAGACATCCTCAGAATCTGCTGTGAACGCAGACGAGTCTGGCCACCAAAATACGCAAACCACTCGAGACGTCCTCGCAATCTGGACCCAAGCGGTCATGGATGCCAGACCCGTGGCAGGAGCCAAACTAGCTACTGCGCGTGGGGGAGTGGGGAGAAAAGGAGGAGGGAAGGAGGAGAATGATGCCTCTCCTGTGTCCGCAAGCCAGAGTGAACCCCGCGCAAGCGGGCCCCTGGTTCAACACTCACGCCGTGGATCCACCAACTACATGCCAAGACCAAGACCGACTCGAAACAGTCGACGCCACGTCGCAGCATCACAGGACTGCGCACAGCGGGAGCTTGACGCACGATGACCCGGCGACCTCACGCGATGCCTTGCGCAAGCCGCCGGCGCAGCACACGACTTGAAGAAGGGCGCTTACGCGCGACCTTACGCGGACAGCTGACGCGGACGTCCGCGCAGCTGGCCCCAGCTGTTTTCGTCGCCCACCTGGTAAGCTGGCGCTCCAGGGAGGCCCCAAGCCGCGCACACCCTCTCGCGCACTTCGGGCGCCGAGCGCCGCACGAGGCACGATGTGCTGTTGTGGTATGGGAAAACCAGCACCGAATGCTTTCACATCCGAGAACTTCAGCTCACGGGCGCGGCATATGAACAGTCTCTGAACGCGAATGCAAAAAAAGCTCAGGCATGCAGCGTCTCGGAGCAGACTCGATGGTAAAATCCGCGTTTGATCTTTCTGAAAGCATGATGGCGCAATGCTCTAGACTGCAAATCCAAATGCGAGGGGGCAAAGAAAATGAAAAAGAAGACTACGACTGGCCGACGCTGGCACGTGCACGACAGGTACGCTTGCACAGCGGAGGCCGATACAAAATATAACCCACTGAACTGACCGCGCAATCTCGGAAGGCGACGTACGCGGAACAAGAATGTGCACAAACATGAGTTGGCGGAGTTCCGCATGGATTTTGGGGATCGGCGCTGCCCCCCCCCTTCCACGGCGCGCGGAGCGCGCCAACGGCAGCACTGGAGGCGCCGCCCAGAGGGGCCCAGCGGCGACCCAAGAGATCCGCGCGGAACTCCGAAAACTTCTGTTCATGCCGTTGTTTGCCCCTCGACATGTCGACTATGACCCTCGTGGCCCGTGCCCGCGGGGAGGCTGTGTGTAAGTGAAGGGGCCCAGAGACATACAAATAAGTACGCACAAATCCCAAGATCCCCCATCTGTTCCTATATTTTGTGGGTTTCCGTTATCCCCCATCACTTCCCATATTTTCCCATATTTTCATGGGGGTCGACGGTTACATGTGTCCATGTGTTTTTCCCCTCCTGAATAATTACAGCGCGCTCGCCTTCGCCTCCGCCTTCGCCTTCGCCTTCGGCGGAGCGGTCTCCTCCGTCTTCGGCCGCTCGCCTGCGGGCCCAGGCGCCCACGAGAGGGGACTACGCATGCGGACGCGGGCGCCGTCGACCCCCGCTTTTACCCGACGATGGTAAACAGGAAAAACAGATCGAGAAACCAGCTGCCCGCTGGAAGAACCACCCCAACCACCATCCCGATCCCAGCCCTAGATTTCAAACGCCCTCGCCCTCTAGGCACCTCCCCAGACATGACCGGGCTCCTCCTCCTCCTTTTCTTCCTCCTCCTCCTCTTAATCTCCTCCTCCTCCCTTTCCAAGCGGCGAGCGCGCCCGCCCACGCGCCCGAGCATTTTGATCCAGAGCGGGCGCAAGCCCTCAACCTCTGAACCAGCGCTCCGCTCAGCGGCGACTGGTCCTGGGGAGCCGAAGGGGCGCGCCCGCGGGGGCCTCTGAATTCCTCCGCACGGGATCGCCGCGGAGAACGCGACGACGATGGCGCAGAGAGCCGCCCGCACGGCCGCCTGACCCGCAGCCTGGGCCCTGCGGTCCCACCGCCAGGCGCCCTCCAGTCTCCAGCGCGCCGCCTCGGCGCAGACGCCGTCCGCGGCTCTGCCCGGCGCGCGCCCGGCCCCGCGGCGTTCGCCCGCCCGCCAGTGCCGCGCCGCCAGCCTCGCCGCCCGCGGCCGCAGCGCGGTGCCAGTTTGCACCCTCGCCATCCCCGCGCCCGGGGCCCGCGCGGGCCCTGTTCGCGGGGGCAGCGGCGGCGCCCCAGGCCCTCCATGCAGCAGCAGCCTGGCGCGGCGCCCGCCCGCGGCCCCGCCCCAGTGGCTCGCGCTTGGCGGCGGCGCGCGCGCGGCCTCAGCCTGGAGTCGCGCTCGGCCGCGGCGCCCCAGCCCCTCTGGGCGGCGGCGCGGCGGCCCCGTGCCGCGCAGGCACGAGCGCGGCGGCGGCTCGCCACGGCCGCGCCTGCGTGGCAAAGAGGACCGCGTCCGCGGCGTGCTGCTGCAAAGGGCACCCCAGGCTCTGGCAAAGCTGGGCAAAGCTGCCGGATGGCAGCGGAACGCCCCGCGCCCCCCGCGGGCGCGAACTGTCGCGCGAGAGGCCGTTTCCTCGAAAAATTTCCCGCGGTCCTCAACGACGAACGGGATCACCGGCGCGCCCGGGTAGCGAGCTCGTCCCCGGCGCTTTGCGGCGGCGGCAGCCGCTCCGCCCTGCCTCGCGGCCCCGTTCGCCAGGGCGCCCTGCGAGGTTGCGCTCGCGACCGCGAAGAAAATGATGCCGCGACGCCTGGCGCGCGGACCGCCAGATTCATTCGCGCCTCGGGGCTGCGCAGCGAGGCGCGGGGCGGCACGGCCTCACGGTGCACGGCGCAGCCTTGTTCTTCGCGCCAATCCGACGTCGCCGCGCAGCCCGCGTCGCGCCGGCGCACGAGTCATTGCACCGACCTCGCAAACGTGCTGCAGCAGATTGTTGCGTCGATTTCTATCGACGCAACCCCGAAACGGCGAGTGAAAAACTAAGTAAATGTCGCGTGGATTTCCGTTAGTCTTGATTCTCGGCCCCCCAACAAAACCGCACGAAATTCACCTCGAAATCTGGAACGAACTTCTCTGGGGCACTCTAGGCCCATCCTAGTGTCCCAGCGAAATCCGCTGTGCGAGATTGGCGCCATGGCACGAGCCACCCGCCGACTGGGCAGCCGAGCGCGGCGGCCCTTCGAGCCCAGCGGCGCGCCGCAGACGCTGCCGCCCGGGCGCCGGTGTTGGCAAAGTCCAATGCTGAACGGCAGGTCGAGGTTCAGCTGGACCCCCGTCCCGATGACGAACTGCGCGTCGGCGGGG